AACATAACAGCACTGATGCAGCCTATGAACCAAGGCGTTATATCCGCATTCAAGGCCTATTATTTACGCCCTACCATGGACCAACTTCTCAAGGCTACTGATGGAGAAAATAAACCTACGATCCGAGAATATTGGTGAGGCTACAACATTCTTAATGCTATCGACAACATTGGCAAGGCATGGGAAGAAGTTTCAGAAAGTTGCCTGAATGGTGTGTGGCATAAATTATGGCCTGAGTGAGTGAACAGCTTTACGGGATTCACGGACTTAGTCCCAACTCTGAATAGGGATATCCTCAGCTTGGCTAGATAAGCAGGCTTTCATTAGTTGGAAACTGAGGATATTGAGCTAGTCCTGGCATCCCATACAGAAGAACAAACTAATGAAGATCTGCAACTGCTAACAGAACAAAGTGCCACTGAAGACGACGATGACGAAGAACCACAATGAACGCAATCTACCAAGAGAACGTAGCTCAAAGATTGTATGCAACATGGAGGAAACTTTTAGTTGTTATAATGAGATCTACAAGGAAAAAAAGAAGAGCACTAAGCAGTCAACGCTGGATTATTTTTTTTCATCGCTGGAAGGAAGAGGCAGCATCTTCACAACAGCCTGTAAGCGAGGAGGGGCAACCAGCAGCCGAGGGGGAGCAAACAGCAGCCAAGGAGGTGCAAACAGCAGCGGAGGAGGAGCAATCAGAAGCAGGGGAGGAGCAATCAGCAGTGGAGGACGAGCAATCAGCAGCCAAGGAGGAGCAAACAGCATCCAAGGAGGAGCAAACAGCAGCCAAGGAGGAGCAATCAGCAGCAGAGGAGGGGAAATCAGCAGCGGAGGAGGAACCCCAGTCAGTGAGGAAGGAGGAGCCACCCGCCGGGTCTCAGTGACTCGCCACCCTCCTCCTCTCCTCCACTACCCACCACACACTCGCTCCACCTCCACACATGAGTGAGTCCAATACAAAATGATTTAGTTTATTTATCTTTTTGGATATATAATATATACTATGTTCTATAAAAATTCCATTGAATTTATATACGTATATGTAATGTACTTTATGGGGCAAAGAGAGGCTGGGGAACGTAATTCCTGTATTTTATCTATTTCTTATGGGGAAAATTTATTCCATTAACGTCGTTTCCGTTAACATCACGGTTTTCAGGAACGGAACCACGATGTTAAGCAAGGACTTACTGTATTACAGTAGAGCAAAAATAAAATAACAGTCTTGGACAGTACATCAATGCACAAACATTTCTTAGTAAAGTACTGTACTTCAAAGGTAAATTATGTACAGTATTGTCACAAGAATGGCTATGTGTTGAGTCATGGGCCTTGATGTGATATCACAAAGACCAGTGTCCACACATTTTAACCTGTAACCCCAAAACTCCTGTGTTCATACTGATCACTGCTATGTTTTTAATTGTAATATAAAAAAATACACCCAAGCAAAACCTTTTACTGTAAAAATATCCTGAAGTATGTAAAAATACAACAAAACCAGCAACAATTGTATTTGGGAAGAAGTGGTAATATTAGTAAGAAAATGGCATTGTCAAAATTTGCTCGGTTTTCTCTACAGTGCTACATCAGTGGACCACACCAAATATTACTAAAACCTTTACATCAGTGGACCACACCAAATATTACTAAAACCTTTACATCAGTGGACCACACCAAATATTACTAAAACTTTAAGTACAATATTGAAGAATAACTAAGCAAAATTAGGTTCACTGTAAAAATATCATCATGTTTATCATACAGTATTAAAAGTTAATGAATTTTGTGCATACTGTACAGGCCAATTATGAAAATATGGAGTGCTATACAGGTATAATACAGGTTGTACCTCTCTAGTCCGGCAACCTCAGGAACTGACCAGTGCCGGACCATGGAAAGTCACCCTTTTCCTGGACAGATAGTGACTTGTGCTTACGTTAGCACCACTTTCACTGTTTCGTGGTCTCTTTGAAGACATATTGAAGGGTTAAATGTCGTACAGTAGCTTCTCAAATTTCACGAGTTTTTAATTCAACGTTTTTTATTTGGACACAAAACACACTACAGTACATAATTAAAAATTTTGACAGCGAAAACTCGAATTTTGACGGGTTTGAGCGGTCCGCCAACGTTTAGGCGTGCACAATCGTGTAAACACCTTCATTTCTCTTATGTACAAAAGATTCATTATTGTTTATTACTGAATGTCTTTTTTATTGAATTAATGTTTATGTGAGCAAAATGAGCAATACAATTCACTAATAATACGTAGAATATTAAAATACACGAGGAAATGAGACAGCATTGTTTTCGTTGATTACAAAACCAGTGACTGATTGGTTCTACATATAAAACAAGAAAATAAGACCCTGGTTGTAGCTGTAGTAAAATTAATGTAAAAAATTAATATGGTTGTTTTAAGTAATGTTATCTAATGTTAATAAATAGAACAATAAAAGTAGCAAACCATTTATGTTAAAGAAAAAAGTGAGTGCGCGTATGTAAGTGCGCACATGTGAAAAACATATCATCATTACTTTACGTAAGAATATGAAAGCAACACTTATATACTGTTCATATATGTTTTAATTAATGTTTCTGATTTTTTTTATTGAATTAATGTTTGTGTGCAAAATGAACAATACAATTCATTAATAATTCGTGGAACATTAAAACACACGAGGAGACGAGACGGCTGCCGGCATTGTTTTCGTTAATGTTTACAAAACCAGTGACTGATTGGTTCTACATATAAAACAAGAAAATAAGACCCTGGTTGTAGCTGCAGTAAAATTAATGTAAAAATTAATATGGTTGTTAGAAGTATAGGTTGTACCTCTCTAGTCAGGCATTCTGTGGTCCGGAAACTCCCGTGGTCCGGAACGATTTTAGTTTGTCCAATAGGTAGATAAGCAGCTTTTTTTTTTTACTTATCTGAATTATTATTATTATTACAGGAGTATTAAATTTTTGCCCCTCAGGCCCCAATGTGGGTCAGTGACCTATGCCCGGGTGGGCTAATCCCCTAAAAAAAAAAAAGCCGCGGGAAATTAAGGTTTGTTTACATCCAGCAGTTCGGCTGCTCTCTCTCTCTCTCTCTCTGCTTGTCTATACAGAGTACAACATTTAACCCTTCAATATATATGAGCAGTAAATAAGTGTTGCTTTCATATTCTTATGTAGAGTAATGACGATATGTTTTCACATGTGCGCACTTACATACGCGCAGTCTCACTTTTTTTTTACCATTAATGGTTAGCTACTTATATTGTTCCATTTATTAACATTAAATAACATTACAGGTACTTCAAACAACCATATTAATTTTTTTACATTAATTTTACCACAGCTAAAATCAGGGTCTTATTTTCTTCAGTTTTATATGTAGAACCAATCAGTCACTGGTTTTGTAAGCTTTAACATAAACAATGCTGGCAGCCGTCTCATCTCCTCGTGTGTTTTAATATTCCACGTATTATTAATAAATTGTATTGTTAATTTTGCACACACAAACATTAATTCAATAAAAACAAATTCAGAAACATTAATTAAAATATATATGAACAGTAAATAAGTGTTGCTTTCATATTCTTATGTAAAGTAATGACGATATGTTTTCACGTGTGCGCATGTGCACTTACATACGCGATCTCTCTTTTTTCTTTACCATTATCGTTAGCTACTTCTATTGTTCCATTTATTAACATTAAATAACATTACTTAAAACAACCATATTAATTTTACTACAGCTACAACCAAGGTCTTATTTTCTTCAGTTTTATATGTAGAACCAGTCAGTCACTGGTTTTGTAATCAACGAAAACAATGCTGTCATTTCCTCGTGTGTTTTAATATTTTACGTATTATTAATAAATTGTATTGCTCATTTTGCACACATAAACATTAATTCAATAAAAAAGACATTCAGTAATAAACAATAATGAATCTTTTGTACATAAGAGAAATGACGCTGTTTACAAGATTATGCACGTTGTCTGCACGTTGGCGGGCCGTTCAAACCCGTCGAAATTCAAGTTTCCGCCGTCAAAATTTTTATTTATTTATTTTTTTGTGTGTTCCGATAAAATATGTTAAGAATTAAAAACTCACGAAATTTGAAAAGCTACTATACAACATTTAACCCTTCAATATGTCTTCAAAGAGACCATGATGCAGAGAAAGTGGTGCTAGTGCTTCCAAGCATAAGCACAAATCACTATCTATCCAGGAAAAGGGTGAATTTCCATGGTCCGGCACCGGTCAGGTCCCGAGGTTGCCGGACTAGAGAGGTACAACCTGTAATGTTATTTAATGTTAATAAATGGAACAATATAAGTAGCTAACCATTAATGTTAAAGAAAAAAGTGAGATCGCGTATGTAAGTGCGCACCTGTGAAAACACATCGTCATTACTCTACATAAGAATATGAAAGCAACACTTATTTACTGTTCATATATATTGAAGGGTTAAATGCTGTACTCTGTATAGACAAACAGAGAGAGAGAGCCGAACTGCCGGATGTAAACAAACCTTAATTTCCCGCGGCTTTGTTTTGTTTTTGTTTTTTTACGGGGATTAGCCCACCCGGGCACAGGTCACTGACCCACATTGGAGCCTGAGGGGCGAAAATGTAATACTACTGTAATAATAATAATAATTCAGATAAGTAAAAAAAAAAAGCTGCCTATCTACCTATGGGGCAAACTAAAATCGTTCCGGACCACAGAATGCCGGACTAGAGAGGTACAACCTGTACTATATAAATTTTACCAGCCAGTCTCTTCATTCCGTAAAACCGTCATTTCCGGTAAAACTGTATGCCAGATGAAAATACACCAAAACACAACAAGGAATGGTGAGATACTGTATAAATCATATCTGGCATAACATTCTTCTTGGCACTCCAAACTTGTCTTCAGATACAGTACCATACAAACACTTCACTCTCTCATCAAATTATCAATTAATATCTTAGGGTGAAGCAAAAACAAAATTTAGATTTTGATTGATTTATGAGATGACAATATGAGTAACATCGTCAGTGTGGTTCTTCCTACCAGTCAACACAATGACACTAAAAACCTTATCACATTAGCAGTAATCCTTTAGGAATTCACTTCTCCCATAACTACTAGAGAGGTTTAACTAATCCAGTCTTATTTAAATATATCATGCCAATCTTGTCAGAACATAATTATAAAAAAAACAAAGAAAGAAAAGATGACCCTTTTAAATGTAATCTCATCTACATATCATAAATTTTACAAAATGGAAAATCCAATGCTGAAAAATGATAAAGTTTAATTATCTAATTAATTATATGAAATGTATATGAAAATGTATGCACCATTAAGTAGTATGGAATGGTACTGAGATCTCTCACCTAGACCAACACCTTGCATCACCTGCATGTTTTGGGGTTAGTCCGGGGCAGACCCAAAAAAACTTACTCTGGGACTTTCCACACTTGTGAAAACCTTCAGCAGTCTCTGGTATGAGGTGATATACTGTTTTATGATAAAGAAATTCTCAAAAATGAAATACAACCAAATGTATAAATTGAATGAACTCTGTGTTTGAATATGTAACAAAGGAACACAATGCAGGTACCTGTACTGTATAAACTAATTAGTTCTGAGCACAATTGATTGTGTTGAAGGTATGATTGTATGGAAATAACTCCTTATACAGTGTATTCTGGAAATTGAACACCCAACTCTGCCTTAAATATGAAGAAATAATGATTATTGATTGATCCTGAGAAATGGATATGACCATCAAACACCCAAAAAATATTGATCATAGTCATATCAGTAATCTTATGTGATTATGTATCTATTTCCTTGTAATTTTACTTATTCCCCTATTATGTCTCTCTTATTCCTCCCACCTTTTGCTTTGTGTCATGAAAATCTCCAACTTATAAGTCAACAATGGCAGTTTTTCATAAATAAGAACCATGAAACATTTATAGATATAAACCTTGCATACTGATGTATTTATTTTCTTAACAAGGATCACTGAAGGGTTCTGGTTTTATTCCTGCACCCATTAAATACCCTTCATACCCACCTTTTATTTTGTGTATTCCGTTTAGAGTGACTTCTATCTTAAGTACTGACATTGCATTTCATTCCGTTTGCAATAACTTTCAGAACAAAGCTTCAAACTGAGGTGGGCTTCTTATCATGATCCAGTGTTTTACCTCTCGTTTCTGTTCCTATGTTGGTATGTGTCCCTGGCTGATGTACACCTGTGCTAGCTGTGAGTCTCTTTTACTTAGGTACCTTGTGATAGAACCACTGGCCAAGAGGTACCTACTGATAGCTCCACTGGCCAAGAGGTAACGTAGGATAGAACCACTGACCAAGAGGTACCTTGTGATAGAACCACTGGCCAAGAGGTACCTACTGATAGCTCCACTGGCCAAGAGGTAACGTAGGATAGAACCACTGACCAAGAGGTACCTTATGATAGAACCACTGGCCAAGAGGTACCTTATGATAGCTCCACTGGCCAAGAGGTAACGTAGGATAGAACCACTGACCAAGAGGTACCTTATGATAGAACCACTGGCCAAGAGGTACCTCATGATAGCTCCACTGGCCAAGAGGTAATTTATGATAGAACCACTGGCCAAATTATTTGTGAAATGATTTTTCTCCATTGTATCAGAAAAAAGTAAAATACACTTGTGTACAGTACACTGTAGTATATGAATATAAGATGTGTGTTCAATAAATATGTGCTGAATTTGTGGCCCTTGAAACGAGTGCTGATTCTTGACACCTGCTTGCATATACTGTACTGTACAGTGATACAAATATTGTAAATCAATCCTTCATTTTATAGTACATGTAATGTCCTCAAAATTCTTACCAAATGCTCCACATAACTTCCCTCAGATTAAACAAAAAATGATCTCTTATAAATTAGAAATATTGGAAAAAAAATTTCAATATACTGTACTCGTACAGTGGTCCCTCGGTTAATGAACACAATTTGTTCCACAGTCGTTCGTTAACCAAAAATTTCGTTAACCGAATCCATTATTTCAATGGGATATTGTGTAATTGGTTCCAGCTCACAGAAAAGTACATACAAAGTAAAGCCAAAAAATGCATAAAGTCAGAACACTCCTGAAATTCCCCTAAATCGCCCTTAAATCACTACAGTGGTCCCTCGGTTAACTAGTGAATTAGCTCCCATAAGGATCTTCAATTCGGTTAACGAACAAAACTTCGATTAACGAAATCCTTACGACAAACACGTTTTGTTGTGAGCCTCAGCTCATCAGCTGATCGGCTAGTCCTCCAATACAGTAATTGGTTCTAAGTTTACATTCGTTTCCAGTTGAGTAAATATCAAGAAAGTTGTGCTCTTTAATATTTTAGCATTTTTTTATGTTAAAATTATTAGTCATTTTAAAATTTAGTTAACATATTGATATTATATGCAGTACAGGGATATAGTTTTTTGTGCGCCCATCAGTCGCTTGACTAACCCGCCAAAGCAGCAGTTTAAATTTCTTTACAGTGGAGGAAACATTGTTTTTGTTGCTCTCTTGAATACAGAGTATTTTTATGTTTTTACATTAAAATTATTGGTCATTCTGAAATTTAGTTAACATATTTATAATATATAGTGCAGTGCAGTGTTGATTTTAATAAAATAATTTTTAATTACAGCTAGTGAACTAAAAATTTTATTGGTGAAATTACTGCATCAAGCATGGGTCCAAAGAAAGGCGATTTCTCCTCCACCCCCACTTCCTTCTCTTCTCTCCTCCACCCCCCACTTCTAATTCTCATCATCATCATCAACAAGCAACATTATACATACACACAGTGCCGGATTTAGACCTGTGGAGGCCCATGAGCAGCCTCTTTGTGGAGGCCCCTCTCATTATAACTACCCAAGAGGGTGGGGTGGCGAGTGAAGTGAGCCTAAACATCTGGGAGTTCTGGGGGGCGCTGTAAGCCCCCCGGGAAAATTTTGAAATTTAAACACTTTTTTGGAGAATTTTGAAGCCATATGCAGTTATATTGAGGAAATTAGAACACAGCGCCCTGATGGCATTCGTAATGCAAGTGATAATGAAAAAAATATTTTATTTGTTTTTTAATCTCAATTTCGTTGTTCCATGTAGTTCATTTTTAATCAATATATGTTTGTGGAATTCTAAATATATTATTAGCAACACAAACAATAGCATTCAATAAAAATATATGGTTCATAGGAAAACCAGGTATTCATGAATTTCAAGGAGTAGCTAGCCTAATTTCTGTTATGCTTCTTGCTGAACATAGTTTTACGTGATGGAATAGATAAATATGAATTTTAAAGAATGAAAATAAAAGTTAATCCAAATGAATAAACAAATAAACAAAATATTGTAATATGTGGAGGCCCCTGGGCAGCTGCCCACTCCTGAATCCGGCCCTGCATACACACCTCAAAGTAAGTGTACTTTACTGCATTTTGTTTTTACTTTTTATGTACTTTTCTGTGAGCTGGAACCAATTACCCAATATCCCATTGAAATAATGGATTTCGGTTAACGAACGACTGTGGAACAAATTGTGTTCGTTAACCGAGGGACCACTGTATATACTGTATATATATATATATATATTTCGATAAAATCACACGGGAAAAGGGAAACAACGGAGCACCTCTGAAGATGTCTTGAATAAAGACGAAAGCTAAGGTGCTCCGTTGTTTCCCTTTTCCCGTGTGATTTTATCAAGATTTATCTTATCCACGTTTTCATTGTGGATTTACATGAAATATATATATATATGTATATATATACAATGAACCCTCACTTTACGCGGTCAATTGAACCCACAGCGGCCCGCGTAAAGTGAGAAACGCGTCAAGTGAACAACATAACATATGGGATTAATTGAAATAGAGACCAGGACGACCCCGAAACTCCACTGTTTCAGACACAATACCTACGTTGTAGTAAAAATAACTTCTTAATTTTATGATGGTATGCACACAATTAATAATTAAGAGAAATATCAATAATATTAGGTTTTTTAACACTTACATTAGTAGTAAAGATGGCCGGGCACACGGGAATGGAGGGTTGGTTCCGAGGCAGAGGGCAGATTATTGGCCCTCACCTGTATCACTTGTATCACTATCCACCACAGAGGCTTGCAGGGCCTCTTTGTCAAACCCCTCAAAGTCCATATAAGTCCATATCCTCACTATCATTATCACTATCACTGACTTGGGCCGGCTGTGGTGGGTGGCGGGTGAAGAACTCGGTAATGTTTTGATGACTGGGCGATCTTGTGCGCACCCTGCTCGCGCCGCTCTCCGCGTAAAAGGGTACACACACCGCGGAAAGTGAACATTCCGGTTTCGGCAGGGTACCGAGTAAACATGGAAACGCGTAAAGTGAAACCACGTAAAGCAGGGGTTTACTGTACATTCAAATCGCTCGTGGCACCGAACACTGGACACCGCACGCTCCCGCTACCTCACACACACACGCATAGCACGTTGCTCCCTCACTCAGTCACTCTCGCCGTAACCACGCTTGTGTTGACATCAGCATTGTAGGTCGACCATGATTTTTTTACCAAAAAATCGTTAATTTATGATATCCCTTGTTTATAGGTCGACCCAAGTTTTTGAGGGTATTGGAACAACAAAACCTTCAGTAAAAACACTACGTCCTATAAACTGAGGCTTGCCCTGCCTGAAGCACAGAGTGCCGAAGGCAAATTGTTTACCATTTATTATTACGACACTTTACACTGAAACGCGGGTAGTTTCGACAAAAATATTGTATATTTTCATTCAAGTATTTATTCAAGTCAATTAGGAGGGAATATTATTGTAATACAACAGTTTTTTAACTGAAAACCAGTACTGTACACTAATGTACAACAATTTTTATCTCTTGAGCAAAATATTTGACGTTTATATTCAAATTATTGGTTGTCTTGCAAGGATTCCAGCAATGCAAATTATAATCTCCTAACTTTAGTCTGAGAGAATATAATTAACATTGCTGGGATTCTTGTAAGACACTGATTAATTTGAATAGCAACATGCTCTAATTTGCACTAGACATAACAATTTTAGTACCGTAATGAAATTACCTGGAGTACATGTGCACTCCAGCTTTGCATTAAGGTCATTTATTTCTTTTAGTACGGTGTGTGCATGTAAATGAATGAAAATAAATGAAGAAATTTATGTAAATCTACCCAAAAATACAGTTGAAAACTGTATACTGTATTATAAAATGTACTACACAGTATTGTACACTAATGTACTACATTTTTATATCTTGAGCAAAATATATGACATTTATATTCAGATTATTGGCTGTCTTGCAAGGATTCCAGCAATGCAAATTATAATCTCCTAACTTTAGTCTGAGATATTATATAAAATAAACACCTTGAAGAATAAAGTTATCACCAATCTTTTGTCTGGGAACACAAGGAGGGAGGTAGCCAGCGATAATGGGGGTGAGGTGACAGAGTGTGGTGTTTGTTTATTTATTTGAGATAAGATGTGACAGTTGGCACTGAAGGCCTACTGTTTATTTATCATAACTTAAGAGTGACTAAGCTCTTCTCATAATTTGCCACCCAAACGACCTAGGTGAATATAACTTACATTGCTGGGATTCTTGTAAGATAGTGATTTATTTGAATACTTGTATAAACAATCTATATTTGCAATAGACATAACACTTTAAGTACCGTAATCATTTAGTACATGTACAGTACAGGTTTGTTCCACGGTAAAATCTTTTGAACAACGAAAGTAAGCGAAAGTCATTGTTTTCGTCATGATTTTATCCCACTTTCCACTGTAATACGTACGTCATTTCAGCAAAAATATTATATTTCCATATTTATTTCTGAGAATATATTCATTCAGTCACAGTTAAGGTAAAATATACTTGTGATGTAATATTTTAATGAAAATGCCCGGTATTTAGACATATGGTATTGTAGTTTTCTTTTGTTTCAAATTTAATTAACAAAGATTGATGTTTCAAATGTAATGAACAAAAATTTATGTACTGTATCTACAAATAAACTTTAAAAAAATGAATACTTTATGTTTTACATCGTCCTGTGCATACCATACCATACCATGCATTTGGCTACTTTGGGCTTGCTATGATGACGCAAGAGATCTGCCCTAGCAACTGTACCGACACTCACAGCTGGTGGTGCGTTGGTGCGTCGTTTCCATTGTTTACTGGTAAATATTTTTCAACCTAACAAAACTATTACCCATTTAGAGGTCAACCCCCAATTTTTTGCCAAATAATTTGGTCTTAAAAACTCGAACTACACACAGGTATATACGCTAAATAAGGACATGGGGGGGGGGCAGCAAAAGTACACAGATTTTTAACATTCACGGGTATCTCTGTTACCTAACCCCTACATATATTAAGGGCAGGAGGGAGGGAGGGAGGGAGGGAGGGAGCGGGTGGTGAGGTGATCTGTTTGACAGTTGGCCCTGAAGGTCTAATGTGTATTTATTTCAGTCCTTAAGAGTGACTAAGCTTTTCTCTTATAAAATGCCAATGAAATGACCTGGGAGAATATACTTTACATTGCTGGGATTCTTGTAAGATAGTGATTAATTTGAATATAAACAAGCCATAATTTGCACCAGACATAAAAATTTTAGTACCGTAATCATTTAGTACAGTACAGGTTGCACCTAGGTCATTTATTTTTTACGTTTCTTTTAGTATGGTGTGTGCATGTAAATGAATAAAAATAAATGAAGAAATTTATGTAAATCTACCTAAAAATACAGTTGAAAAACTGTCCAGTGAGTTCTGCTATAACGTGTGTTTTGACAACGCGAATTGGCTTTAACGAGATTTATGAATAGAGGAACGATATTTGTAAAACGAGAACGCTTGTTTGCTGTAACGCGATTTTTGCTTACTATTTCTCCAATTTTGTGGTATTAATTGTGAATATGGTAAAGAAGAATATATCTCCAAGAAGAATTCTGGTGATCGCATTCCCGGTGAT